TGGGAACTGACAATGGGAAAATAAATCCTGCCTGCTGCCCATTCTGTTGTGTAATTGGGTCTATGAATGGTACGGTTTCTTGGTGAGGTATGGTCTGGGGTGGGAAACACAGCCAATGTTCATATAATAGGTTTTCATCTCTGAAGGCAAATGTCAACATCCATTTACCTCCGGGGTAAGTGAGACCTCCTGAGGGATCTCAACCCTGTGCAGAGGGGTCACAGCATGACTCCATTGCCCACATTTCAGCAGACAGGAGAGTCAGCTGACAGACACACAGAGAAAGGCCAAGGAGTGTATGTGTGGGATGTGGTCTACATTGGGATACTTTCTGAATGTGGAGGAGGGAATTTCAATGATTAGAATGAGGTTTGTTGGACTGGGCACCAGGGCACAGTTGTAAATAAATTTCAGTAGCTGTTTTCTCTGTTTATAAAGCGAAACATGTAAACGCATCCTAGATGGTCATCTGTCAGAAAGACATTTTACTTCACATACATTTTATGAATATTAGATAATGGAGAAATGTAACAAATAGTCATTTTTGTCCCCCTCTTGAATACCAAATAACAGTTATTAGTATCTGTCAAATAAATAATGTGACTACTTTAACAAGGCATCACTACTGTGCGAGAAATGATATCCCATTCTGTTAAACTTTGAAGACAGCTATTGTGTGAAGATAATAAATACATGGAGTAGCTACAGCAATTATGTCCTAGAAATCTACTTCAAGTGGTGCACTGCATTAAGAAAAGCAAACCATTCAGGCTCTCCATGGAAGGCTAACGTGCACAATATGTGCAAAATCTCTGGCTCATGTCAGCTAGTGCAGTTTCAGCTCTTTCACCTCTGCTCTGTATAGGGTGCCTTTCTGTATACAGTGATTATATATGCACACGCTGTCCTAGCTCCATATCCTTAATAAAAGTGTACATGACCGTATTGTGTCAATTTGCCCTCTCTGCTAACTTTTGAACCTTTTCCAGCAACATCTGCCAGAGATCTTGCAGGTAAATTTTATGTATCTGCATGGGAATAGGAAACTAGGAAAGGAAGAGGAATCCTGTCAATGAAGCTAGCATCTCTCTGTGCCTTCTGTCTGCAGGAAATCCACCTTAACACTCTTGGTCACTGGTAAAAAGAAATGTATAAGATGAAATATTAGATTAAAAGGATGTCAATGGTTACTTTGAGGCCTCCTGCTCCAAAACAGGACACGCTTGCTCACAGGCTCAGGATTGTGTATCAAATAATTAACAACTATTTAATTGATTTTTCTAGATTCCTGCTTGTGGCTCATTATTTAATCAATCAAAATTATTTGGAAAATATTACTAATTAAAATGACCATTTAGGACTACAGAAGTTATTCTAATTACAGAAGACATGAGGGTCATTACCTTCTACTGAAAAGACCTGGTGTTTTCTGTGATGAAACATTCCTTTGTGAACATAGAAAAGTAATAAATACTTATCCTACTGAACAGCTAAAAATCTCCCTGGGGACCAACCTCACACAAGTTACTGCAATGCCACCTCCCATCTCCAGGACCTCAGTGACTGCAGTACACGCACACAGAGCACCTGAGCATGCGCAAGCCCAGGGCTGCTGGTAGCGATGGACTTCACCCAGCACTTACTGTGGTGCCTGTATAAATGGAGCAGAAGGGGACAGTGTCTCTCTGCAGTGCTCTCAGCACCTTTGCTCCCATTTTTAGCCCACAAGAAATTGGGACAGGCATCCAGAGCTTGCAATGGACTTCCAAATCTATAACTTCTATTGCTCCCCAGCTGTGTGCATTGTCTATGAACCTCACCTGTCTCATTCTCTTTTACTTCTAGTCCACAAAAGCTTGCCACTCTTAACAGTTACTTGGCTGGTGCCAGCACTGTAGGTTTGTGCTGTGAATATCAAAGTTCCCACCAAGCCAAATGAACCACATGGATATTATCTGATGCTAAATGATAAGATTATTTTTTTTTTTACATTTTTTAACGTTCTTAAAAAAAAGAATGCAGAAGACTACTAAAAAAGCTGTTTTGAAGCTGATAGAGGAAATGTCTCAGGTATCGAAACCAGCCAGAACTATGGCAGTCCAGACAACTCTCATTTGACTGTTGTACATCCACAGCATCTTACAGCCAAACTGTGTTCTCTAAAGGACACCTGGGCTGTTGAGTGCAATGTGTCAGCATTGTGCGCAGCCTGGGTTTGCTTCTGGATTGAATCAAGTGGAGCAAGCTGAGCAGTCCTCTGCATATCTCATTTCTTTAATCAGCTGTAGCATACGCTGCACATTGCGACATGGCGCTGTGGGCAGAGAAAAGTCTCCTACATTGCAGCTGAATCCTTACCTGGGATCTCATCCTAGCCTTTTTCTCTGTCACAAAGTTCCTTTGTTATGGTGGAAAGCCACAGGAAGGAGGCTTATCAGAGATGGCAATTTGCATGTTGCAGTGTCCAGCTCGAAACCTTGAGATCGGGTTTACAGGAACACTTGGCATGCACAGTTGCATCTGAAATCAATAGAAATTATTTTCTGAGTGTATGAAGTGCTGTAGAAAATATGATGTACTGTGAAATGCTAAGCCCTAGGTATTTCAAACCTTCCACCCTGAATTAGTGGGTAATTTGGACCATATGATCAGTCTGTCTTGGTTCTCTATGTGTAACCATCTCCACTGATAATTCATCTCACCAGAAGCACCGTGCTGGTAAGTTAAATATTTGTGAAACACTGATCCAGCACACTGCAGCACGGTGCAGGAAGGCATGAATAATTCTGCTTTCAAAGCAGGATGGGAACCATGTGCTCTAAATGAAACAGTCATGCATTGACGATGAGGACAAGCAGGATTTTGAGGAGCAATTAGCGAGGGAGGGGTCAAGTAGAAAAAAAACCCAGTAGTATAGTGAGATAATTAAAGATATTTCATAATCCACATGCCTATAGGAAGAGGTAACAATTGCTCAGACAACCATGTAAAATTAAACACTCATTTAGGAGATCTTACCTAATACACTTCACCAATTGTTTTGGTATTTGCAGAATTGAGGTCTAAGTGCATCTCCTCTGTCTAAGATAATATGATTATATCAATGTCAATATTTGATGTCAGATGAAAGTCTGACATTTGTATTTTGAAAGCATCAAGGCACAGATACTGCCTCTGCCAGCCAATCTGGCAACTTCTAGCCTTCTGCAACTACTATTTCATATGTAGTTTAATGATGTGGAAATGGGGAAAACCCTAACGCACTCCGTAAAAACCACATCAAAACTCTGTGGAAGGGTGTTGCTGTACTACAGAAATGCTGTTTGCCTATAGATGATTTTAATTCATTTGCCTATAGATGATTTTAATTCATTATTCACCTACTTTTGTTCTCCTCATACAACTTGGACTTTCATTAAATGTATATGAAAAAAAATAAAAAAAAGGAAAGGTAAGTGAAGAAAGAAATAATAAAAAGGAGCACCTTGCACATGTCTTTACTGAGATACAGTGAGGCTGAGAAGCTTTCCTTCCCAGCCAGTTTCGGTGGACTTGTTTGAGAACATGATAAAATGGGACACATGTAAGAGCCTCTACCAAATAAACATTTTCAGCTCAGTTTTCATGAGCATAAAGTAATTGTCAGCTGAAGGTCTGTCTCCACCAAGATACTTATTCCAGCTAGTAAAGGAGGATACAAGCCTGGTAAGGGTGATGAGGGTGCTGATTTCCATTCTCGTATCAGCTCTTGCACCAAATAGTGGCACACTGCAGAAATGTTATTTAACAAAATAGCAATAATGTTGTCCAATATCTGCTCCAAATACACAAAACGCAAATTATTTTGAAAGAGATGAATACTATGTTGAGAAGCACCATTCAACTAAATAATCAGTTGGGAGCATCTTTTCTTGTTAAAATGAAGCAATTGTAAATAGCAGAATGATATTTAAATGAAATTGTATGTAAGGGAAGTAAGAAATATTTGCAAGAAACTTTTGTAATTGCATTATCTCTAAGTAGAAAATTTATAAATTATAATGAATAATACAAATGTATCCTGTTATAAAATGGAAATGTTTGATCAAGAGGCTGAATGCATAAGTATTAAGTTCTTTTTATTGAGGAAGTTTCTCCTGGCTGTATGCAATATTCATAAAATGTGTTACAAGTTTATAAATAGAAAAAAATGTTTGTAAAAATGCAAATTTAGCATGGAAGTTATATTTTAAATATTTTATGAAACAATTATGCTGTATTAACAGTATGTTCTTTATTACTTAGATTAAAAATTCACAGGGATTTTTATCACTCCCATCGTTATTTGACATGGCTTTTATTGGGTTATTCTCTAGACATTTTCAGAAACAGATGAAGAATATGAATAATCTACATACAGAATCATAGACATATATCTTAGTTACTACTTCAAATGTATTGTATACATATACATAACATCTCAATATTTTTTACCCAAATAGTCTGCATACACTATGGCTGTATAACTGGGACTATAGCATGTAAACTGGCTGCTGCTCACATATACCTGTGATGAAAACGGCTGGCTACATGAGGGAAGAAGAGGTGAGAAATGGCCAGCAGGTGAAGAGTAGCAGCGGTTGCCAAGGCTGGAGGACGCCACCTCTGTTCGTTGCATTATCTCCCAACACTTGCCAGCACTCAAGTCCAGGCTGTTAGGTGAAATTAGGCAGTACTACATCTAGGCAACATAGAAATATCTTTCCCTCCCCTCCCACCAAGCACATTTCCTGGTAGACCAATCTTTGGCTGTTGAAAGGCAGGTCCTGCAGCACAAGGGTTTAGCTTGCTAGAGCAGGTTGATTGGTGATTAAAGCAAACAATGTCATTCTTAATACTGCCATAATTTAAAATGCAGGACTAACTTTTTCTGGATCTGCATGAAACTCAGTGACACTTGACATGCCCTCTAGCATAAAATCCCACAAATTAGTTGCCTGCAGTGAAGGGATCCACTGGGACATGCTGAAAATACCTCCACAAAACCTTTTTTTCTCTTTTTCATTTGGGGGAGTTTTTTGGCTATTTACATTTTCATCTGTGTGAATATTCCCTGCAGAAAATGTGGGCTCTGTTACAAGAAGGGTGCATGACTGGTGAAGAGGCCAGCAAACTCAATCCCTGCACAGCCTGGGAAGAGGGTTGGAGAGGACTGCACCTTCGCGTGGGGCCAGAGACCATTGAAGTAGTGGCTGTGGGAAGCCAGAGACCTCTAGACCCACGAGACAGCACAGGAGGGAGGCTGCACCTTGCCTGCAGGCAAGAGCAAGTGGAACAAGGCTGTATCTCTATCCAGGCTGCCTGAGTTAGGGCTGGTCTGAGCTGTGGAACTGAGGGACATGGATCTACAAAGCCACCTCTGCTGTGCTTTGCCAAGACACTGTGAACAGTCAAATTAAAACTAATAGGAGGCACAGTTAGGCTCAAAACCAGCCCTGCCACAGAACTCCCATATGCCCTTAAGGCAGTTAACCAAGCTTTGATTTTCCATTGGTTCAGTTAAAGGCTCGGCAGCAAATATGTATTCTGTATATATACTTATATATATGTTATAAAGGACACTTGCCACCAAGTACTGCAGCAGCTTAACCACCTAACCAGATTTAAGATGAACCATCATGTGAAGTATAGCAGCCCATGCAGCAGCAAGGAGGCACAGTCATGGAACAGAAAAGGAATGGTCACAACCTCCTGGCTATTCACAGTCTGGAGAATGGAAAGCTGTACTGACTGCTAATGGCTGCTGAGCATCTTTTTTAACTTGTGGAAACTACTCTGCCTGTTAGGTTACAAACCCAGTGAAGGGCAAGTATCAATACCAACAGTATCTTTGCGACTTTTTCACCAATATCTAAGTGATACCATTAGAGAAGTTAGAAACTCAGAACTGCAAGGACATCTTGCAAGGAAGCTTTTAGAGAAGGATTTAATACAACATCAGCCAGGATAAGTACTACTGGGTACCTTGATGTCGGACTTAACCTAAAGGTTGTGAGAACATCCAGTGAAATGGAGACGGGAACTTGGTGTTCGAAGGTCAAGTTCGCTGACAACTTCACAAAGATGTTTCTACATTTCTTTTTGCCCAAGATACCAACATTATACTTTTGAGGAAACAGTTTTGGAAAATGGCTCTCTGGAGCACTACTATGCTTCTCTGTGCTTTGGAGTGTAGCAAGGCAGAGCTCACATCTCATTTCAGGCAGTGTTTTTCTCATAAGAGAGCCCAGATCAGCTCTGAAGACAGCGAAGTGCTACCCACAGCCATTTATTATTTTCAGCCACGAAAGAAAAAAAATTGATAAACTGAGTGGTTTAATTGGTGTAAGGCCCATTGCTCAAGCAGCAGGCTTCATCACACGATCAATTTAAAGACAAAGAAAGAAAATCCTACCAGAGCAGAGCCTAACCTGGGTACTGATAAAGCACTGTCAGCATCTACAGTAAATGACACAGAGTCTGGCAACTAAATTTATTAGAAAGAAGGATCTGGGTTCTGATGGATTCAGCCTTGCTGAAAAATTAATGGATTTATGGGTCTTCTTCAAGATTTTTGAAACATTAATACCTATTTTTATTTCTATTACCTTGATTTTGATGATTATATGTGATCTTACATGTGAACCATACATAAATATTGACCTTATCACATATCTGCTCCCTTCACTGGTGGAACAACCCTGACAGCTCCGGTGCTCTACATTTTCTGCTGGACATAGAGAGAGTGTGTAGTTGTTATAACCACATTTTTGCTCCATTCATATAATTACTTTAAGAATATTTTTATAGAATAATTATTTGAACGTAGTGTAACTTGATGGAGGAGTGCTTTCTAAAATGAGATGAGTTGAGGATGATATGTCATTTATGCTAATCCGTTGAAAACTAGGAAAGTGTGAAATGTGCTGTAGGGAAAAATTATCTCTTCTGAATATTACAGGCCAGGAAAAAAAATCTGTTTATTACACAAAATAAAATGTACTTATAAAAAATCAATAACTTATTCTCACTCATCTGTGACTAAGTTCATATGCTACTAATTGTGCATTTTTGAGAGGGTGGGAGGATGAACTATATCTAGCCCTGCAGCCACTTAACTGTAATAATCACATTTTCTTTTTAATAGAGTAAGTAAATTTTTAAAGTGATCTACAGAGGAACAGATGGAGGATCAAATTCTTTATGGGTATCTCATCTCCTGCTACACTGATACTCAGAGCTCAGAGCGGTGCCTACTGCCAGGCGCATCTACCTTGCAGTCCGTCTTGCCCTTGTTCTCCTGTTACCTTATGTCTGGTGACCAGAAATGGAAAAGCAGCTTCTGAAGGTAAAAATTCATCTGGCATTTGAGCTAGCTTTGAGTTGCAATCATCTGTGTGCTACATAAACAAACTCCTTGCAGGGCTTCAGCATCCCGCAACAGTGTCCCTTCTTATGGATTTTTCTGTAAGCACAATATGCCTCCAGCAGCATGGGGGGAACATGGGTGCAAAGAGGAAGCTGGGAGAAGAGTCCCTGGCCTTCTGATCACAGTGAAAAAACACTAGAACAATTAACTGCTGCTTTCTCCTCCATTTTGTTTCCCTGCTGGCATGGGAACTCTCCCTACAAAAGAAGCAAAAGCCCCACTGGCTTTGGTTAAACTGGGATTTCACTTTGGATTTCATCATCCTCTTATTTTCTCATTAATTATTGCTCCGCTGCTTTATCTGTGAAAGAAAAGAGCAGCAACACATCAATCATAAAGAAAACTTGAACTGTGGTTTTTCCATGTGCTGCACATTTTGGAAGGAGGTTTCAGAGAAAGGAGACTTGTAGGCTGGAGGCTGCTCCATCAGGTGGTCTGAGAGGCTCTTGGTGCTCCTGCAGGGTCCTGTCCTCCTCTTCTGCCCATGCATGCACACTGCCACCAACAAAGTAGCTGGGTGCTGGCTTCCAATATGTTTAATCCAGATTTTTAAACTGGAAAGTGTGCTTTCAGGTTACTAGTGAGAGTATAGTGTCAGTTCGGGCAGCTGATTCAGAGTTGCTGTGGGGAATAAACCCAGAACTGCAGGAGGAACTGCCTTGGGTGTCTGAAGCTCCTTTAAGGTGCCAGAGCTGCACTAGAAATTAAAGAAGAGTTCTGTAACACACAACTAGAAAATGTTTAGTAATGGTAATTACAGCAGAGCAAATAGAACAGAAAACTGAAAAAAACCCCTCACCTTGACATATATTTTTATTTAAAACATTGCCTACATTGCTAGAACTTCTGGACCTCATCACCACCCTCCTAGAGTATGCAGAAACTGAACACTGATGAAGAAAGTAAATGTGCCTTAGCCTCTAGTTCGTGATGGTGGGAAGCATTTTTAACCCTTCTATTCAAGTGATTTACATAAGAGATACAGCTTAATTTAGACATGTAAGAATGGGAAAAATTTAGACATGTAAAAGGGGGGAAAAAAAATCCAACCTTATTAAAGGTTGATGCCTTTTCATTTTCAAAAAATGAAATACTCATCTATTTTATTCCTAATGACATTAGGAATAATTTATTCGTAATGACAGCAATGTTTTGTTTATCTGACAAATTTGGTTCCAGACCTTCAAAATAAACAATGAGGTACCCCAGAGCCATGCCATGCTAGCGTTGTATCTACCTGAGCTCAGAAAAGGAAAGGCAGTGCCAGGAGCTGGTTTGGAACAGCACACCAAGGATGGAAGCCCACTGCCTAGAGAAAACTCCCCTGTGATACCTGATAGTGTGTGCACAAACATCATCCCTCTGCTACCAGCCAGGGTTTTGCAAGATATAGATCACAGAGATGAGAGATGACAGGGTGCTGTGAGGCATCAAGAGTGTTTCTGGGAAGACATCTCAGTAAACAAATATTGGCATGGCAGCACCAACGTGCTCAGCCCCTGCTGCCAGCAATGCCCCAGTAGCACGGGTACCGCACAGGGCATCTCTCAGTGAAGATGTTGGCTATGCCCCTGGCTCCCTGGGCCTCCTGTATCCCCCATAGCTTTGCCACAAGCAGCAGCATTTCTCTATGTTGTCAGACCCATGCCCAGCTGCCAAGAGCCACTGCTGATGCCCTGCGATGAGTTGTGCAAGCCTGAGGGGTATATTTATACGTCTGCTCCTTCAGGACTGAAAATCAGGGATGCTGAGTTGAAGTCTCATCTTTAAACCAGCTCCTCCAAAGCTGCTCGTGTCTGTAGGTGCAGCAAGCTGGGTCTGACTGAAATGTGGTTTTTTCCCCCTAATCAGAGAAGTTCCATGAAGTCTGTTTTTGTTTTGAAACCACACAGTCCAAGCAAAAATTAAACACCCTCTCTGAAAAAAATGTAGTTATCTGAGCATTTTAGAGTTATGCTAAGAATTTTAGACTCATGCTGGGAGTCTGTTTCAATTTTGTCTGCATTTTAAGGAATATTTCAGTTGAGCCTACCCCCTCCTGACTGTCCTCCTCAGCCCTCAACAGTCACATACATGCTCATGCAACAGCGTGCAAGAAGGTGCAATATGCACCTTGGTTTATTTTCACAGCATGTTATCTGCCTGGATGGGCCAGAAACTGTTGGACCAGACTTCTAAGTACCTGAGATAAACATAACTCAAAAATAGCACTGTATTTAAGGAGATGGGGACTTTAAAGCCCAGATTTGCTGCTGGCTGTCTCTGGGCTCCTAGAGCATCCAGCAGAGTTGGTTTGCCTTTTGGCCAAGCTGAGGAGCACTTTTTAAGGTAAACCATGCTAAACGGCCCATATCTACATGGATTAGAAATTATTCACTCTGTCAGGAAAGAAATCTTTTAAAGCAGTTGCAAATTGCTTGTGGGTAATGCCTGTTACAGCATTGCATTAGATTGTGCTTTATGTGTGACCGATCAATGTGTCTGTGTATGTAAGTATGTAAAGATGCTAGTTCCTAGTTCCTAGTAAATGCAATATTCATGGAGGTGTGGTGTCATGGGCATCTCTTCCCATCTCCCCATGGCCAGAGCAAGTCTGTGGTAAATGCATACCCTGCCACCCTGTAGTGAGAATTGAGAAACAGAACAGCAAAAGACAGGTAAATTCAATTTCTGATGGTTTGGCAGCAAAAAAAGTAAAAAATGGTACATATTCTAGTTAGACCAGTGGTCTGACTCTTACAGAAGAGCTTTTTACCAGCTTTGCCAGTGGTGGCATTTAACAATGACAAGTGGAGGCTCCTGGGGGAAGGCTTCAGCCCTGAGTCCTGGATAACTGGGGAAAAGTGGGTTTAATCACTACCTTTAACTTCCATGTCCACCTGAAACTATTGGTTCTTCCAGCACCTAAGTTATGAAACATCGATTTACACACCAAGGTGGATGTGCAGAGAGGTAAACAGGAAATAATAAACACCTTGTAAGGATCTTTGCCTCTGTAAATTTGATTTCTGATCCTGTTATGTCATAAGTCACCACAAGGAAGGTCTAGGGGCTTTTTTTCCACCACCTTGCACCACTCCTCCAACGTACCACTAAACCATTTTTAAAATGCAATTTAGTTGGTCCAGTTCCCAACAGAAAAAAAAAAAAAATCAAAACCGAACAACCAATTTCTAGCCCCTACCTACTGCATCCCACTTATCCTTCAGGAACCAGCTATGGGGCTTAAAGAGTGAACCTATGTTATGGGTGCCAAATCACTTAGTTTATCATTAAGTTGATAATACACTTCACCCTCATTACTATTCTATCATTAGGATCTGAGTGGTTTGAGTGTTTGACTTAAGTGGCTGTTTTTTCTCCTCAGAGGTATATGAGATGCTGCCTCTCAGCAAGGTGTCCTGAAAACCTTTTCTTAATGAACAAGTGATTAAAAGGCTTAAGTGCAAGCAAGCATCCGAAACACAAGCTGCATTATCACAGAATGAGACAGAAATAGGCTAACCCCCAACATCACAGAGAGCCTTCACTCAGATGCTCTCGATGCTCTCTTGTTTTGTCTCAGTGGTATCTGCCAGACACCAAGCCATGCTGTGGCCCAGTCTCCATCCTGGATGTCTGGCTTGTCCTCTGCCATGTACAGCAAAGCCACCCCAGGGGAGATCTTTTCTCTTATTCCCATACATGCCCCCATTTCTGGCCTCAGACATCTCAGGAGCATGCATCAAGACTGTCATACTCCTACCAAGGCTCCTTTTAGTTGGCTGCCAGGAAAAGCACAGCCAGCAAGTAAAAGTGAGACAGTCAGGTCAGAGT